GAGAGAGAGAGAGAGAGAGAGAGAGAGAGAGAGAGAGAGAGAGAGAGAGAGAGAGAGAGAGAGAGAGAGAGAGAGAGAGAGAGAGTCTTTTAGTCTGTGCAAGTTGAACTTTGCTCCTTGAGAATGTGGCAAGGTTTCTAATTGCATTTTTGTTTTCTGAAAAAGGAAAACCGTTATGTTGAAACGAAATCGGAAACGTGAATGTTACATACGAGTAGTAGTAGTAGTAGTAGTAGTAGTAGTGAGTTAAAGCTTTAACTTACATTTGGTGACTTGCATTTGCTGAGGTCTCATCTACTCATCTTTTGTCACACAGACTTGCATTTGGTGACTGTTTTTCTGTTTTTTTTTTAAGGCTACCAGAGTGGCCCGGGACCACTTGCCGTGCTGGACCAAAAAAAGAAAAAAAAAGAAAAAGGGACAATTTGCAAAATACCGCCATAAGTTGAGATATATGGCAAAATGCCCCTGAAAGATGTGGGTAGAGCGGAATGCTCTTTTGGGCCGAAATCTTTGTGTTGTGCCCCTGTCAGGCGGGTGTGCAACTTTGCAATCTGGACCTCCCATTTGAGCCTTGGCCTTTTGCAATAAGCGCGTAGGAAAAGTTGGCAAGTACTGGGGCATTTTGCAAAGTTGGACGGTACCCGGTAGGGGTATATTGCAAAGATGGGTGTCCAACCAACACCAGGGGTATTTCACAAAACACTTTTTTTCGTCAGAGGGGCATTCCGCTCTACCCACATCTTTTAGGGCCATTTTGGCATATATCTCAAGTTCTTGCAAATTATCCCATTTATTATTATTATTATTATTTTTTTAAATTTGGTATGGAATTTCGATGTGCCCCTGAGGCAAAAGTTGTTCAGTTTGTTTTTGTGCATAACATAATTCTTTTTCAGGTTTTTTTTTTTTTTTTTTTTTTTTCTGCGACCTTCTTTGGTCCTTGCACGGCCGGGCCACCCGGGCAAACAAGGCGACCGGGCGGCCCCGGCTAGTAGCCTAGTTTTTTTTTTCTGATTTGCAGGCAGCCGGACATGTAAGAGTAAGTTAAAGCATTGCTGAGGTCTCATCTGTCCGTCTTTGCTCACTTACCCTTGCATTCGGTGACTGTTTTTCGTTTCTTTCCGTATGTGCAGGAAGCAGGAAAGATAGTGCGCACAGGCGATAAGACATTGGCAAACGAGCTGGAGGTTGGCGGTTACGCAGCTTTGAAAAACTAGAAATGCAGCTCGCGAGTGATTCATCATCCCGGCGGGGTGGCGCCGTCTCTCTCGCCTTCCTCCTATTTCCACACACCCCCTCCCCTCCTCTCCCCCATCCTCACTTTCCGGTTCTGCTTATCCTTGCCCTTTCAGTCCACATCGCACACTGGAAGAGCACTGTCATTGTTTTCGATGGCAGTTTGGAGTGATCGGTTATCCTCCTGCTTCCCCCCTTTCCTCCGCCTCCTGGAATATCCTAGTGTTGTGAGGAATCTCCTACTTCAGAAATTTGGAGACAGTTGTGTGTACTCATTTAATGTAGGACTTGTCAGTCAGCTGACGAGCATGAGAAAATGTGTAGGTCATCTGGTCCATTGTTGCATTACTCTCTCACATCTGCAGGTGATGGGTGCTATTCATCAGCAGGTGGTGTGGCCTATTCTCCTATCTCCCTCCACCTGGTACCTTTCCATGGATTTAGCGCAGACCCACTCGCCATGTTATCGCACAGTACACACCCACATACTTGGAAACTGACCCATCCACCTCACCACCCACCTCACCACGCACCCACCCACCCACACACACACACCTACACAAACACACGAACACGCCTACACACACACACACACACACACACACACACACACACACACACACACACACACACACACACGTCAACAGAGACATCTGCACTCGCTCACCCATGAAGACACGCGTTCTCTTGCTTATACGTTGAGAGAGACTGGCAGCTTGACTACCGTCTTCAGCAGAAAGAGAACGCCGTGTCATTATTGCTGTATCTAGATTGGGAGATGCCAGAACAGAGTTATAATGACCGGGCGTTGTATTGGGGTGAAGATGGCAGTTTTGGCGTGGAGCAAGCTCAGGTGCTGTTGTGTTTGCGACGGCGGCCTAGAGTGCTACTGCATCCATGAGTAAGAGTTGCACATACCTACATAGGTATGTGGAGGACCGTTCCGCTTGTGAGTGGCCTTGACAATGTGTGGTTTCTCTCCCCTCGTCCTCGTTGTCTATCTTCCTTGCTCCCTTGCCTCGGATAGTCTGTTGTCAACAGGCCTCTCTCTCTCTCTCTCTCTCTCTCTCTCTCTCTCTCTCTCTCTCTCTCTCTCTCTCTCTCTCTCTCTCTCTCTCTCTCTCTCATGCATGGGTACACTTGTGTGAAGATAGACGCAGGTGTCTTTGCACACATTCTCGCAGACGGAGACAGCTCTCTGTGTCTTCTCCTGGTTCGGCACCCCTTTCCTGTTTCCCTTTTGCGGTTATGACCGCAGAATTGAAATGTGTTGATGTCAAAGAAAACAGAGAATAGATTTAGTTGGCTGTCTGTCCAGGACCACAGTCTTCTGGGGATTTAAAATCTTGATCGCGTCATTCTTGTTTTTTTTTTTTTTTTTTTTTTTGGATCATTCTTGGTTTTGCTGAATACGGTTTCTTTCTTCTTGCTTTTTGTACTCGCCGTCTGCTTTGGAGCTTTTCTTGTCTGTTTGTGAGAAAGACCTTTCTTTCCCCCCCCCCCCTCTCCCCTTTTTTTTTTCAGAATGACCTTTCAATGTTCGGAATGTCCATTTCACGATAATTTATATATCCATCAAGTTTTTCTCTGACGAGCATCACAGAATTCCTCAAAGTTTTCATCTTGGTGCCAAGCACTACCTGATGATTTGTGAAATGCCCACCCCAGGGTATCAGTTGTCGGCCCGTCGTTGATGTTTAACCACAATCGGCAATCGGGGTTAAGGTGGCTTATCACTTACAGTGTAATCAGTGAGGGAATTCTGCAGAGTTCCGCCTCCTGATGCTGATGAGTTTGCGAAACTCCCTCGAATAGTCATAGGGAACGGCGTTGTGAATCGTAGGCAGAGAGGTGGATATGACAAAAAAGGGGTGCTGTGACAGATTATTTCATCGCAGTTTTGGGCCTTTTGGCAACTCATCAGGGGGCTGAATGAACCCTCTAGGGTCTGCGGAGTCCCCTAATCCATGACACCGGTTGGTGGTCCCCACCACCTCAGGTTATCAGTTGTCGGCCCGTCGTTGATGCTTAACCACAATCTGGGTTAAGGTGGATTATCACTTACAGTGTATGTAATCAGTTAGGGGATTCTGCAGACTGTTGAGGGTTCAGCCTCTACTGATTGATGAGTCAGTTGGTGAAACGTCGACGAAACATTCTCTTTCACAGCCCCTCCCTCGTTTGTTGTCCTCTTCTCCTTCTCTGCGGACCGTCTACCGGGCAGCTCTGTTTGGCGATATATGTATAATAATAGAGTTTTATAAATCCAAAATTGGAAATTGACAAATTGTGATTTGTAACGACTTTTCACCAAAATGCAGAATAGCCTCTAGTGTCTGCGGCAATGCGACGTTTATTAAATGTTTGAGAATTAGTTTCTGGACACGCAGGCTGCGTCTACCTGCCCGGAATGCCCAGTGGCACAGCAGGATATCCAGCTGCCCTTCGTCATCCGGATTAATTTCTGGACACCTGGGCTTGGCGGGCTGCGTCTAGCTGCCAGGAATCTAACAGGGCTAGTCTGGCTGGGGGGAAAAGAAGGACACCTGGGCTTGGCGGGCTGCGAGGATGGTGCATAGAAAAAAGGCAGGACACTTTTCGGCGTCTGGAGGTCCTGAGCGGAACTTGAAAGTCCTCTGGCCGCTCTGGCCGAGGATGGTGCCAAGAACTGCCCAAAAGGGCCTTTGTATGGGTTTATAAGAAAAACTGGCCAGCAGGGAGTAGACAGCAATATGAAACTTCCACCAGCTCAAAACATTGCTACCCACCAACCCATCTCTTCTTCTGTTTGTTTGTTTGTTTGTTTGTTTGTTTTTTTTTTTTTTTTTTTTTTACCCGTTGTTGTTGTTGAAAGATGACAAACTTGGTATGTGAGGTTTTGCAGTCTTGAAGCTTTGTTTTATTTTTCCAGGAGTGAGGTAGCAGGACAGACGCCTAAATTTGGTCAATCTTGTTCCTGGAGTTTCCTTAGGCTCCTGAGATTGATATAAGCCTATTAGAAGGGGATGTCGAGCGAAGGCTCGTAAGTGAAACTGGATAATGCACCCAGGATAACTCCGGGTTGAATTGTGAGGTTCCCAGCCTCAATTTAACCTGTTATAATGAGAAGTTCCGTTGGAAAAAAAAAAAAAAAAAAAAGGAAGAAATACAATATTAATAATATTTAATTATTAATAATATTTAATTATGAATAATATTTAATTATATTAATAATAAATAAAATATTCATGAATAATTGAATATAGAATAAGAATATGAACAAATATAGAATAACAAATATAGAATATATATTTATTTAATTGTATATTAGCAAAGTGTGATCTCTATTCATTAGATTCTATGCATTCAATGAATAAAGTACAATGAATAGAGACTGGATGAAAATCTAGACAGACAAACCAACCCATCGCTGTAAGAGACAAACTACAAGATGCAAGTGCATCAGGAGAGTGTGCTCGTAATCCATATCTTCTTTTTTCAAATCAAATTGGACATCACGCACAGCACTGCATAGCGATGAAATCTGGGAGTATCGTGCTTCCAGGACAGCTTCGTACCCGGATACTCGTAATTGTCCTTCCTTCACGACATTTTGAACTTAGTTTTTGGAAAGAGTTATTTTCTTCCAGGACAGTTTTTTTTGAACTTAGTTTTTGGAAAGAGTTATTTTCTTCCAGGACAGTTTNGAACTTAGTTTTTGGAAAGAGTTATTTTCTTCCAGGACAGTTTTTTTTGAACTTAGTTTTTGGAAAGAGTTATTTTCTTCCAGGACAGTTTTTTTCTTTGGCAACTCTATACTGAAAAAAAAAAAAACTCTTTCCAAAAACCAAATTCAAAATGTCGCTGGTCCTCGTCAATTACGCCTTCCAGCAAAATCTCAGCCATCCATCCCCCCTTTTCAGCCCCCAGCTAGTCCGTGCAGATGTTCCGGATTTAATTTTGCACACCCCTTCTATCGACCAGGCCATCCAGTCCAACCTTCGCTGCTGCGCAGCTGCGGTTTGATGTTGTGCGGCAGTCTGTATATGTGTTGTTTTGTTATGTCAATCAGTCTTCCCCCGTACATCCTTAGCTCCTCTGCGACATGGGTGCTGCGCTTTTCCAGCACAAGTTTGTGCCCACAAGATGACCTTTCTGCTAACGAGACCAATCAAGTTCGTTGGGCTTACACCACCAGTACATTGCGCCGAGCAACTTGAGAACACTGGGAGACTAGAGACTTCTTCCGGCGGAAAAAATGGAGGCTCCCGGCGCCCGGGGCCGGCGAAAGGGCTGGCAGTGGCAGCCAAAAGGAAAACAAGAACACTGAGAGACTAGAGAGACTCCTTCCGGAAAAAATGGAGGCTCCGGGCGACGGGGACCGGGGCCTGCGAAATGGCTGGCGGTGGGAGCCAAATTGAAAACAAGAACAAAATGGCTGGCGGTGGAAGCTAAAAGGAAAACAAGAACACTGCTGGTTTGCGCCACCTCGTACAAAAAAAAATCAGGCCTGGATGTACTGGTGGTTTGCAAGGGCTGCTTTGGACTATGGGCCATTGAGCGCAAATCCGAGCCTGGTGCATCCCACCGCCACTTCTCTTATATATAACCAGATCCATAGCCTGCCTGCTGCATCCCAGGGCCACTTCTCTTGTATACAAACAGACCGCCGCTGCGATTTATGTCCTATTGTTGCTAGGCTTCTGCTGTAAATCAAGGTACTGTGACCCCCCCTCTGCCCCAGATCCTTCCATGTCAAGATCGCGATGGCCCCGCTTGCTTCGCCGCTGGAGCAAGCAAACAAGATTAACCTCCGCATGTCACTTCCATCTCCGCTTAACGATGCATCTTTTGAATCAAGAACCGCAGTTCATCTTTTGAAAATTGAAACCATTTATCGCACGCCTTCCCCAAGTCGGTGGAGCAGTGTCACTCTTTAAGTCACTCAAATTATCTTAAGCGGAAGCCCCCACTCGTCGGAATGAGATGAGCCCACAATTCACAACAATTGGATGAATAATAATAATAATATCCTCTATTGCAACCAACAACCGGTTAGCTAAGATTTTGAATCACCAACATTTTGTGCATGACAGTAGAAAGTTTAACAACTTAACAAGTTCGGACTCCGTAGGCTTTTTTCATTCCTCTCAAAAAAAAAAAAAAAAAAAAAAAACATCACTAGGGAGATGCTGACTACAGGTGGGGCATAAGGTTTCGTGTTATCCATTATTCTATAGAAAAACAGTATTGTGGAGCAAGGCCCCTCTTGATGCACAATTTTTCCTAATGCGCCCCTTCAATTTTGGGGCTTTTTCCCCCACCTACTTGCACAAGCCCATAAAACCCTTTAAAACCGCCGCACAATGTTTTGTTTAAAACCGCCGCAACCTTCCCTGCTTTTGTTTTTGTACCTCTGAGTCTGGCGGAAGCTGCGCTCACAGGGTAGGCACAGGTGCACCTTTGGGCTGTAGACAATTCTGACATCTGGAAATTCATGAGGAAAAAATAAGAAACGAAAAGATAGGCAAGAAGTAAAAGCACCGTGAGGTGTGCAGCTTACTCGTACTAATTACGATTCTGACGATCCCCGTACTAATTACGATTCTGACGATCGGGGATAATGGGGATAAAATTCCGATAAATACAAAATCGGATTATGGATTTAGTGAAATATTCAACATTTTCAATGATTCATTTTCTTTTCTTTTCTTTTCTTTTTTTTATTTTTTTTTATTTTAAGGCTAATTCTTTAAAGCCCAACCAATATAAAGCCCAACCAATTCATTATAGTATTATGGGGAACCCCGTAGCAGCCACATCCGTGCTCAAGCCTCCAACGAGGGAACATGCGGGAACTGCACCCACCAGCAGGTGCAATACCTGCTACAGCAGGTGGGCGATACCGGCCAGGGGTCAGCCTGATGGTAGCATCAGGACCGAGCTTCTTCGATGGGCCAGTCACTGTGCCTCCCCTCCGGTCCCTCTTTCTAAATAGAAAGGAAAAAACAAAAAAAAAAAGAGCGTATCGTGATTAAAAGATGTGTCACGAATCGCAAGTTGATACGGAGATGCTAAGGGTTCATGCTGCTGTTGGAAGATATTTGCAAAAAAAAGGGGAGAGAATTGTGCAGAGAAAGAACGAATGGCGGCTGACAGTCCCCCTGTCACTGACGGCGTGTTGTCGAATATGGAGGCACTGAAATTTACTACACACCTCACTCCACTACTGACCCAAATTTGCAAAATGAATGAATCTTACGCTGGAACATGGAAAGATACACCACCATAGTCTTATATTCTTGCCTTTTGTGCATGCAGCGCCATATTCTTGCCTTTTGTGCACGTCGCCCGTAGCAGATTGCAGCGCCATTGGCACGGCAGACAGTATCGTGCTGTGACTACCAGGGGCCTTGCTCCACTACTCACCAAGTTTGGAAAACGAGAACGAATCTTACGCAGAAACATGGAAAGGTACACCGCCATATTCTTGCCTTTGGGCATGTCATGAGTCTGCTCATACTGGTGACATGCACAAAACAACCTGGATGATGAGTAGAGGGGTGTATGTTTTCTTTTCTGTTTGGAAGGTTTAAAAAAGCAGTGGGGTGAGGGCACTTGCTGCGGATTCATCGATAACCTGTGCGGGGTAGAGCCTGGACCTCTGAAGCCCTGAGGGAATGGTCGAGCACTAGTGTGAAGTACCAGGCCAACCAGCGATTGAAAAAGGGCGCGGAACGTTTTTTGATGTTGGGGTGGGTAAGATTTTCTCTACAAGCTATTGAAAAGAGCCCAAAATACCGAGGCGGCCGGACGGGCCGTTTTTCCGGAAAGGTGCAGGGTGTTGGCCCAAGTGACGCAGGATAGTAGCTTTGAAACATCGAACGTGGCTCACTTGGTCCAAGGAGTTCTGCCGAAGTCACAGTACCGGGTCATCGTCGAAGGTACCAGGCGCATCTGAACAGGGTTGAGGCGGGCATTAGTAGTGTAGTACTGTAGCACAGTTAGCATCTCGAAGTGTCCCCCTGAGGGGGTCGCTAACTGGCAGAGGCCGAAACTAGTCGGGGAATGGCCAGACACCTTCGTCTCTTGGTATGGAGGAGGGGAGGTGTTGTCACGCCGGCTATGGCCGAAAGTGGCGATAAGTGCGTTGACGTTCATATCCTGTTTTCGAACCTAATAATTTGAGATTCTTCGTCCATTTTGCTGTGACATCTGTGGCTATGTGTGCACTTGCTTTGGGGTCAGGCTTTTTGATCTGGCTCTGCTGTTCTCATCATCATCATCTCGTGCACAAAAGGCAAGAATATAGCAGTGTATCTTCCCATGTCCCAGCGTAAGATTCATTCTCATTTTCCAAATTTGGTGAGTAGTGGAGCGAGGCCCATAGTAGAACCAACGCCTGCATAATCGGGCTACTGCTACCTCCGGCGCCAAACACCACTCCTCAACTTTTTTTTCCTTTTTTTTTTTTTAATAATAAAAAAATGACAAGTTCAGCTCTATTTTTTCGGGTTGCCATCCCACAGCATCGGGCAACTGCCGGCGCGGACTGGTTCGGGACGAGCATCTCAACGGTACTGCCTGTTTAATTTCTGCATTCAGCTTTTTCAACTTCATCTCAAGGTCTTTTCCAAAAGGGGGGGGCATCAGCATCCCACTTTCTCAAAGTCCCCTTTCATGGGGCGGGGCGACACAGAAATACCTATTGTTTTAATTTTTTGATTTCCCCCCCCCCAGATTACGTGGTCAGAATACGCAAAAAAAAACAAAAAAAAAAGCCCTTGACGTTGTCAGTACTCGGGAGTCGCTGATCATCAACTGGGCTCATAAAAAAAAAGAAAAAAAAAGAAAGACACAAGTACACCTGGGCCTGGAGGCATCACACTGCATGCCAAGCTTTTTCCAAAACTGCCAGCAGTGCGACTCTATCTTCGTCTACCGCAACTTTTTCTTTGTCGACCGCCGTCGCCACCCGTTATCATCCGGTATCGCCCAAGCCGCCACATTTTACGAGTAGGCGACCAATAAATTTCAGCAAAGGCTGCGACCGTGTACTGGTGGGTTAAAAGTTAAAAAAACGGAGCTTAAAAGTCAAAACCTTCAATAACATCCAGGTCAGCTGATCTGAAGCGAAGCTTCCAAGTTGTCTTTTCCATAAACGTCCTCGAAAGCATCTGTAGATTCTGTAACCTTACCCTTCCGCATTCCAAAATTTGCCTTAATTTTTTTGTAGTCTTTGGCACTCTTTGCCAAAAAAAAAAAAAAAAAAAAAAAAAAAAAA